ACATCGATCCAATCTCCTGGATTGAGAATGTATAATATGTCCATCTTTCTCTGAGAGTGTTTCGCTAACAGTCGGATTCCTAATACCGGTTTCCCTAACAAGTCTGAACAATTGTCTGCTATTACCTATTGCCGCTGCCTTTTCCATCTCTCTTGCTTTCGCTATCCACAACTGTTCACAATCATTGCCTAGACTTCTTGTCAGCTTGCGCTTAAGCTGACTCCGCTCTTCACTATGTTCAGAGCCAGGTGGAATGAGTTTCCGAGCATCTATCAGTGCGATAGATGCTGCTGAGATCCAGTGTCGTTCCCTAACCTTACGGGTTACCGTACTAGCAGATATCACGATGTTTCCACAGCTTTACGCATATCATTCCATGTTGCCTCGGGGTGGGCATCACATACATGGCTGTCTAACTATTTTCCTAGTTGTTCCTGAAATATACTCTTAGCTTGACTATCATTAAGTAGGGCCCTAAGAGGTTTACTTGCAGCGTCTTTCCTACGTCCAGTAAGACGCAGACAGATACGCGCTCGTACTAGAGCATGATCTGAATCTAAGCATGTGCTCCAGAATGAGCGACAGTCTTCTATCGAGCCCCTCCATCGGTGGCTGATAGCGATGTGATCTATTTGAGTCCAACGCTGGAACGAATTAGGGGGTCGCCATGTTAAAAGATATTTTTCCTTATGCTTAAAGTTAGTATTTGCAAGGAAGAGGCGGTTATCTGAGCATAGCTGCAACAGACGGTCGCCATTATCTGTTCTTTGAGCCATGATGCTATAAGAGCCACCCAGGTGTCTTTTCCTATCGCTTAGTCTGCCTACTTGAGCATTAAAGTCACCGGCCATTATTACTACATCTGAACGCCTAGCTTTTCGGAGAAGGTCGGAGAGCTTTCTGTGAAACTCATCTTTTACATCATCTGCGCTGCAGTCAATGGGAGAATAGGCAGAAACGACGAAGAGGCAACGACGGGTGTCCCTATCTTTTCGGATCCTTACTGTTGCGTTTAGTCGGACAGCGCACAAACGACTGTCTACTGGGATCCACTCTAAGAGAGCTAGTTCTGCCCTAGGACTCAATGCTATACCTACGCCGGCGAGGCCACAGGAAGTAGAATCAGGGCTTCCAGATACACGAAGCGTAAATCGAGTCGGTTCTTTATTTTGGCATGGTGAGGTCAGATGGATGACGCTACTCGGATCCTGTATGCGCGTTTCGGAGACGCAGCACACATCGATAGCGCGGGACTCTAAAGTCCTAGCTAAGGAAGCCTGTTGTCCTATTTGGCACAGTGTTCGGACGTTAAAAGCTCCAACGTGTAGTTTAGAGCGTGGTTTCAGGAGACCAGGAATAGCGTTCCACGTACTCGAATCGTTTGCCCTACCGGTGCGAGGTGATAAAGAAACGTGAGGAGGGTTAGTCATGGAAATAAGAGAGGTATTAGGTGTAGGAAGGATTTGAATGTGACCAACTTGGTCTTGTGTGCTGTTACGGGTATGAGGGCTGATATCACTTCCCGGCTGCCCACTCCGTGGAAGGGTATTCCTTGAGAGACCTGAAAAGGAAATTGGATTAGTGTTGGTCTTAACGAGCTGGGAGCGTAACCGCAGAGCCCAAGGGACAACTGCTTGAGGCCTGTCGCGCACTGCCCTTTTGTGGAAGGTTTTAATAAGTTAGCTCCGTTCTTCAAAGGGCCTTACCGCCGGAGACGGAAATCCGTGAGGTAAGGTGAGGTGTGACATTTTTAGGGTCGACCTTTTCTAACCCCACCCCACCTTGTGGGAAGGCAGCATCGCTGCAGATGCTGGTTGTCCGAGGGAAACACCTTACTGCTGTCACAGCTTTAAGGTCCTGGTCTTGATCCTAGATGAAGTAATGGTTATGTTTATTGTCAAGGGTCTCCCGAAAATACTAGGATAAAAAATCTGTACAATTTTCATTGGTTCTCCAGTTCATACCATGTCATGGTAACAAGTAGCACCAAACCTGAACAAATTACAGAAAATAATCTGTTCCTATGAAAAAATTTAATAATCTTCTCTAAGTTCCAACTAACATCAAAAAGTAGTAATATTAAACACTATGTTTAAAAGTATTTCGTTTTATTTAACAAATGATACCATATTAATTTGGAAAATTACTCTTTTCATTACTTACTTAAGCTTGTTACCCTTCTTTGGAAATAGGCCGCCGACTAAGAAATTCATTTCATAGTGGTATTATGATAGACAATTAATCTAATTTTCAAAAAAGTAACAACCGATGGTGAAATACAGCGGTTAGCAGTGAAGTCCAGGAAGGGATGTTAGTTTTGTTTGAAACTACTCAGCTGGATGTACGTACATCTCAGTGCTAACGTTCATAACTAGTTACCTTTCGTTCCCAAGCCTAATACGCTATCCCTTGAGCCACTCAGTTCAAATAGCCGCCAATTTGTGCAACGGCGATAGGCCTTAATATTTATCATAATTCAGTATATAACAAATGATTAATAAAATCAGCTAATCACGTACAAAATTACCGATGTTTTATTAATCAATGAGTTAATATTTAGTTCCAACTCGAACGAGGTTCAGGTTAACATCAAACGGATATAGAGTGATGACTAATGTCATGTAAAATTCTTTATCATTTTTGATATAGAATCCCATCAACTAATTTTCAAACGTATTTATTAGACTAAAGTATTCAACAATGTGGTGTACTTTTTGATGTTAGATGGTCGGATTAAATCTAAACAAAGAGTTTAGACATAGGTTTCATACTACTCATGGACAGAATGTACTAAGGTACTGCAATAATTAACATTATCTCCAGAAATTCTATTCCATATCACAATGCTGAATTAGATGTTACTACTAAGTTATCCAAGTAACAGTTAAACTTGTGTAGCATAGAAGTGTTTAAATTCAGGAGTAACCAGTGTCATCAGTGATTAAAGCATTTGGCTGACAAGTTTGAACACTGTTCTACCTACTTTGGGTTACGGCAGTCTAGTAGAATTAATAACTACTGAATAAGTGTGGCTTAAAATAGAGCACATAAACCTTCACTTGGAAAGTGAGTTACATTAGTTCATAACATGGACGATCAAGGCTTCCTACTGATTACATCCAATCATTTAATACCAGAAGCCCAAGTACGTTTGGATCCGATAAGGATAATATGACAGTTATATGGCGTAATAGCTATAGGGTATTTTTTTTACTTTTCAAGTATACACATATATAAGCTGATTTAATGAAGGTAATCTTAACATCTAACAAACTTTCTAGCTTATCAAAAGCTATTGACCATCACCTTGTCGTAATCCAACATCAGAATTATAAGACACACCTAGATATTTCTTCTCATCAGTAAAATAATAAATATTTTATTGCTCTTTTTGATGACATGAAAAGCTTATTGTTTATTTATATTATTTTTCAAATACATTTTTATTAATCTAGATCTCATAGGCTTGATATTTCACAAATAATTAATTCGATAAAGCAATCTACACATTTTTATTCAACACAGAAATTAGGTAATAAAATATAGTTCCATGTATTCAGCTTTGATTCGGAATGTTTATCTGAAGGCTGTTGATACTACTGGTATCCGGCTACCTGGATAGGAATATACAAAGATCTAGGTTCGAACAGGCGAACTACCGATTGAAAGTAAAACTACAATAAAGCTAACACTTCACAAGAGTCCCTTGATGATACTTAGAGCATTTAGTCGTTATACTGATGCAATAATACAAAAAATGTCAAAAATTTTGTGGTCAATTTGAATTTGGTTAAATAGGTGCAGGTGGTGCATCCTGTACTGAAAAGTGAAATGTATATGACGAGTTTTGAAATAGTGGTACTACTCACTTTTTAGGAGTCTGATACGTTACTGGAGTGTAAAATGACGCATTTCATGGAAACCTATGGGAACTCCATTACATGACAAGCAGTAATTTGAAATTTTCAGGGCGAAAGGAAAAGAAATAGACCAAAAAGCATATTGCGCAGGGAATTGGAAGTAGACATGAAAAGAATCAATAGCACTTGTGAACAAATGGAACGGAGGGCCCAGAACAGGGTTGATTGGAAAATCCTGGTTGGTAGCCTATCCCCCATGAGGAGTAACCGGAGTAACTGAAAACAAACAGTTTACTACTTGTTGGACTTAAACTTTATGCTTATTCGAGATCATTAATTTGTAGTCTGATTTGTTACTCAAAACAATAACAGTAAATAATCTTAAAAGTAAAACCAGTGACTCAGTGGTTATCTTTTAATTATGATTCCATAAACTTTTATTTATATTTACCTACATGTCCAGCACTCACCAACCATCTTGATATTGAACTAATTATAGTGAAGTATAAATTTGTTAACCAAAGTATTTGCCAATTTTATTTTCAGACATCAAACTATTCACAATAAGCGTACAAAGACCCCAATCACTTCCAGAACAGAAGTTAGAGAGCCTTTGCATCAGCTAGAGACTCTAAAGAACGAAAATGCCAGATATATTTGGTTAACAAGACAAACACAACGAAGTACACCTGTTCTGAACCAGGAGCGACAATATGGTCGGATCAACTTAATTTCCACACACCGAGGAGAATCTCCATCCAGAAGTGGAAAAAGTGAAACGTCTAGTGCAAGAGCGGAACACAGAGGAGGATTATTTAATGTACATATGAACAGTGGAATTAAAGCCCCGTATTACATAATACATCCGGAATGGTTAAGTGAGACTATGACAATACGACAACTTGGGTTATCACCTAGACCAACTCCACTGCCAATAACTAACTGTCTAAACGACAATCAATTGAATAAACGCAGTCACACAACAAATTCTATTTGTCCAGGATCTTCAAGGAGAAATATGTGTACAGATTCATTGAGCTTAGGACAATCATCTTTTAACCGTTGTAGAAGTTTACCACCGAAGTCAATAAATCCCATAACATGGGACAGTTACGGAAATAATCCTTGTAAAACTGACAGTGAAACAATTGGTAAATGATTATATTAAAGAAATAAGGGTTACAAAAAAAGAAATTTAATTCATTAAGAAAATAGAATTCTTCACTTCAAAGGTTGTTGAATAATACGTTTAGTATTATCGTTGTGGGGTTTAGTAACTGTTGGCATTGGCTTATCATGATAAGCTTTGATACACCTGTCGTGACATTCAATTTCCTCCTAGAAAAAAAAAAGAATGAATATAGATAATAGCGGTTCCCATAACGTAAATTAAAATACATAAACAAATAATATTAATTTCGGTTAGATCTTCCCTCGAGGTTTTACTTTAATATACAGTGATATTTGTGATATGAAAATTTTAAACCAATCAAACCAGCTTATAAATCGATGACAAGAACGAAACAGATAACATAAATAAAAAGTAAAAACGTACGAATCAATAGTAATGTACTAGTTATGCTAAGAAATGAAAACCCTCACTGTAGCATTGTATATTCATAAAGACAGAATCGACTAGGTTATGAAGAATGAGTTAATTCTAAAGCTCAAAACTTACTAAGTTATATTTATAATCATTAAAATTCCATTTTACTCGTATTTAACGAGTTAACCCAGTACATAATAAAAATGTAGAAATATTGAATCTATGCCCATAAGGTTTCGGATCAACTTGTCAAGCTCTACATGAATACGAATATCAACAACGAAAGAATATTAAAGCCTTCAGTGGTAAAGAGTGGAAGGCATTCGTTGAGCAAACAAAACTATGTCCAAGATTTGAGGGAGGATAAAAAGTACACACATCTGACCTTAATGCCTACCAGGGGTGAGTTTAAGGATAAACTCTTGTCCAGCTTGCTAAAATTTACAATCCCAGATTGCAAAGTGCATCGGATACTTACAGAAGAAGCGTCAGTCTCAAAAGGTGGTGACATAAAGTGATTTGTCAAAGAAATAGATCCTAGTGTGAGAAACGAAATTTCAGATGGCAGCCAAACGTTTTTAAATTTTGTGAATTATTTTCTTGATGCAAAAGAGTAGGAAAATGTTACATAAACCTTCGACATTAATGCTTTACACACATTTATTCTAACACTACGTGAATCAAACCATGGTAGAACTAGTAAAAGAAAATTAAGACAATTTTAGAAGTTTATTAATGCTCTGTCGATCATAAAGAGGCAATCCCAGTGCTTATAAGTGGGATATCTCGTGAAGCCACAAGCGACTTTACTCGCCATTTTCATGGCATTCGGAAAAATCACATTAACAATCATCATCAATTAGTTTCCGTAGATATAGCATGTATTTTGCTCCTTCGAAGTGCAAAGTACTTTTACAAGACTGGCAGAACCCTGAACGTGCACTCATCCTGGGTAGTGAGCAGATAGAAGTAGCCGAGAAGTTCGTGTATCTGGGTAGGTGCGTAAGTGTTGGTGATGGCTTGAGTGATGAATTCAATTCAGGTATAGTGAAAGTCTGAGTGGCTTATGCCAATCTGGGATGTCTTTCGCCCCTTCACAGTGTTAGTCTGACCGTAAAAGGTCGAATCTACGACGTCGGTGCAGCAGTTAGTTCTGTTCTACTTTGCGACTGCGAAACGTGGCCATCAAGAGTGTAAGATACTCGTAAGCTACTAGTATTTGATCACAGATATCTTAGAAACATAGCTCGCACCTGCTGGGATTACTGGGTGGGTAAGTAATAGTGAGATTGAACGCAGGTTATTAGGAAACGATGGTAAGTCAGTTGATGAGGTTGTAAATCTTCGTCGATTAAGATGGCTGGACCACGTCTTATGTATGCCTGAACACCGTTTCCCACGGTGCGCAATGCTGATTAGTATCGGAGACCGTTAGAAAAAAGTTAGGAGCGGCCAAACCAAAAAATGACATCAGTCACTGAAGTCAATAACTTTTGGTCTGAGCCATGTTTGTAGATGCAGACTACTTGGTTGTGGCGCATATATATTGGCGCTCTCTTATACCAATATTTATGTGTTCAAATAAATAAATAAATAAATACTTGGTTGGGGCCAGCGCGACTATCGTAACCAATGGTTGGAGACTGGGTGGTGTGGTTCAGAATCGATCACAATGGTCTTCTCTTAAACCGTAAGATAAAAATCACGGCAAGATTATAATTTATGGACAAACCAACCAGATTGGGGATAACAGGTCTTGGATTTGGACACCCCGTTAGTCCATACAAATCCCCCCACACAAACAATGGACAGCGAGACCATTAAAGAACTCGATATCTTTGGTCTGCTAAATAAACTTGACGTAGGCAAATCCACGGGGCCCGTGAACTGCATCCTAGGTTACTAAAGGAATTAGCTTACTTCGTTGCGAACCCTTTAAGTATATGCTCTAATCTATACGTAACCCAGGGTCGTTTACCAAAAGAGTGGAAGAACGCCATGGTAAGTCCTGTCTTCAAAACAGGTACGAAACATAAACCAGAGAATTACTGACCCGTTAGCCTATCTAGTGTGGTTGTTAAAATCTTAGAAAATATTATTCTGAAGGAGCTATTGAAGTACCTCGATGAAAACCGGATCCTTTCGGAGAAGCAGCATGGTTTTAGAATAGGTTATACCTGTCTCACCAACTTATTAATGGCTCATGAAAGCTGGTGCGCTCTTAAGTACCAAAAGTTACCTGTAGATGTAGCCTAAATTGACTTCAGCAAAGCTTTTGACAAAGTTCCGCACAACCGGCTTTTATATAAGCTAAGAAACGTCGGGATCGGAGGCAATATATTGATGTGAACTAATAACTTCCTAGTTGGACGCCAACAAAGAGTACGGATAAACTCAAAGTTGTCTATGTGAGAAACTGTACTTAGTGGAGTGCCCCAGAGTACAGTTTTGGGGGCCAGTGTTATTCCCCTTGTGTGTACATGACATTTGTCTACTATCATCATCGGTCTTGCTATATTCTGACGATGTCAAGATATGGACAGCGATACGGATTAAGAGCGATAGCTTAGAACTCCAAAATGGCCTGAAGAAATTATCTGAATTGTCTCAAACCTGGCAGTTGCCGACTAATACTTCCAAGTGTATTGTGATGCATATTTGCCATCAAGGTGCAGATACATACACGATAAATAACACTGAGCTACCTGTTGTCCAGACACACAATGACTTAGGGGTCATCGTTAGCCAAGACTGAAGGACTATTGCACACTGCCGTGAAATAGCCGCCAAATGTTTTAGAACTTTATGGTAGATACGTAGGGCCTTTAGTCACGTCGACGCTACTACGTTTTTGACTTTGTAGTGTTCGTGCAACCTAAACTTGAGTACTGCATACAAGCGGTTAGCCCCTGCTTAAAAAAAGAGTTTTTTTTAAACGTTCAAAGAACAGCAACTAAGCTGATACCTGGAATAGGGAAGCGCGCATACATTCTTCAGACAAATCACAATATTAGAAAAATTAGGAAATTAACATCGAGCCAACGAATACAAATTAACCCACCTTAGTAAGAAGCTCGTGTGGAGATTCCTCTTCACACCTGAAACAATGTTAAAAATTTCCCACTAACATACCTGACATCAGCTGGGGCATCATGTGTTTTAACATGTTTTACAATTCTCATTTTCCCAGCTTTGACTGAAAATTTTGTTATAAGTGATCAGATACATAGGCTTACCTGCTGGAAGGTGTGAAACATTCATCGTGTCTGAAGTTTTATCCGTCATCTGTGGTACTTACTCACATAACCTTGAACCCAAAAATGGCGGCATGCACAAGTGGTTCCAATGGTTCAAACGGCTGTGGATGAAATAGAAGAAGCTTTCGCCTAACAGGCTTCCGTGACTAGTAGCAGGGCATCATCAAATCCTCCAGGCAGGAACCTAGGTATGTTAACAATAAAAGAGGAAAAAGAAATTGGTAAATCATAGTAGGATGCTATCCTTAGTCTTTAAGAATAGATCAAGTTGCCTATTAAAGGACAACTGGAAAGTCGCTTGAACTAACTCGGCCGGCAGTGAATTCCAGCATTTGACAACTCTTAAGGAGTAGAAGTTGTGTCTCCAATTTCTGGGTGTTACCTCTTCGGTTAGTGTTGGAACTAAGCTTGAGTAGGTGTTTGAGAGGATGTCCAGAAGTGTTAACGATGCTGCAAGCCATCAGAAGGTCACCGCTAAGACGTCTATACTCTAATGGGTAAAGGTTAAGTGAATGGAGGCGCTCTTCGTAAGGTTTAAATTTGAGTCCCCGAACTGATTTCGTGGCTCGCCGTTGAATACGCTCCAGGGTGTCCTTATCCTTTTGGAGTGAGAAAGGAAATACTATTGAGGATGATACAGGTATTCAGTGTTTGACAACGCTCCTACCAGTAACACCTTCTAATATGCTTTGTTCCCACCGAGAGAAATCAAAAGACAGAATCGAGGAGATCGGAAGAGTGTATTTGGCGATAACCAATATATCGGGAATCTCTGATCTAATCTGGCTAGTGATTGCGGTTGATGTTGAGCACAGCGTTACAGCACGTGATCTGGTGCGGATGCATGACCGAGCGCCTTCAGCTAGATGAGTCCACTAAAACATATGGTCAGCATCCAATGTCGAAAACCTATAGAGCTATTTAGTTTAGGGATTTATTTACCGCTACAGATCACTCCCCCTCCCTAGTGGGGCAGTGATGACTCTAAGACGTGGCCAGCCAGAAGTTTAAACCCAACGAGTTTGTCGTTCGTAAACACTCTTCTGATAGCTTACTAAATTTAGCAGCGTCTGGTCGTCTTTCCTTACTATATGGGACCGGGGTACAACACAGTAAAAAAAGAAATGTACAATGAAAATTTCGGATCCTCATAAACGTCATCGTTCTTTTCCAGCCGTCCTGGAAAAGAAGAAAGAAAATGTAAGTGCATGTCGAAAATACACTCGTATGTGCGTTAAAAAAAGGAAAATAAACTCGTAAAATCGTTTTTTTGTTTTTTTTTGAAATAGAAATGAAAATATATAAGCCTATTTAAAAAAAATTATTTTTTAATAATATAGAAAATGTCGAGAAGTGCCTTACGTGCAATAGTCGTTTAAATGTTCTGGAAATCTCACTCTTCTTCCAGAACGCGTCGTTTTAAGTTTATTTTCGGATAATGTCGAAGTATCATCGTGTGTGTTGGTTGTCGGATGAGGCATTATAATTGTCGGAGTCGTGTAGTTCAATTGTACCGAAGGAAAATCTACGTAGATAGGATTTCCTTCTAAATACGCTGCTTTGAGGCGATCGATGCTGATGCTATCGTTGGTTCCGTTTTTATCGATTATATAGTACTTCGGTTCGAGTTGAAGAACTTTGAAAGGTCCTTCGTATGCTGATTCGAAAGGTCGTCGATGCGAGTCTCGACGAACGAAAACGTGTGTACTATATTGTAAGTCAGGTTGAACGAAAACATCAGTTGATTGAGGTCGAGTGGAAGCAGGTTTAACTGAACGCATTGCGTTTGTAAGCCTGTTCGTGTAGGAGGTTAGATCCATGCTCATTGAAGAGGATGAAGAATCCACGAATTCTCCTGGAAGTCGAAGTGTCGTTCCATAAACGAGTTGAGCCGCAGTGTATCCAATGTCAGCTTTCACTGCATTGCGGATACCTAGTAAGACGAGTGGAAGAGCGTCGGTCCACTGTGAAACGTTTGCAGCTGGTAGTAAAGCTTTTAGTTGTCGGTGAAAGCGTTCTACCAACCCGTTTGCTTGTGGGTGGTAGGCGGTCGTTCGGAAGCGAGTGCTTCCTAATAGTGTGGTCAGACGACGGAAAAGTTCAGACTCAAACTGACGTCCACGGCCTGTAGTGATGGTTGAAGGGCAACCGAAGTTTGCTACCCATCGTTCGACGAAGGTGCGGGCCACTGTTTCAGCAGTGATGTCCTTGATAGGTACTGCTTCTGGCCATCGGGTGAAACGATCTACACAGGTTAAGAGGTAAGAGTATCCATTTGAATCTGGTAAAGGTCCTACCAAATCCAGATGAACATGGTCGAAACGAGCATCGGGAGTTCTAAATGAACCTAAGGGACATTTATTGTGTCTGATGACCTTAGATTTTTGGCAGCTTACACAGGAGCGTGCCCACTCCCTCACGTCTTTATTCATACCAGGCCAGCAAAAACGTTCTGCTATGAGCTTGATGGTTGCACGAACACCTGGATGAGAAAGTTTGTGCAATGTGTTGAAGACATTGCGTCGATAATGTTTCGGGACGATTGGGCGATCTCTACCTGTAGATGTGTCACAAAGTAAGGTTTCCTTACCTGTTCCCATCTGTTTGATGCGTAGTTTAAGGGTTGTGGACGATAACTCTTGCTGAAGATCAGTGTCTTCCTTTTGAAGCTGGGCGAGTTTAAGAAGGTCGATCCCTTGGAAACTGTTCAAGGAATTTATTCGAGACAAGGCGTCTGCAACTACATTGTTTGCTCCAGAAATATGTTGAATATCTGAAGTAAACTGCGAAATGTAGTCCAGTTGTCGAGACTCACGGGGAGAGTACTTGTCAGAAGGAGAGCTTAACGAGAAAGTGAGCGGTTTATGGTCAGTGAATAGAGTGAATTCACGGCCTTCGATATAGTGTTGAAAATGCCGTACAGCACAATACATAGCTAGGAGTTCCCTACCGAATGTGCTGTATCTTGATTCGGTGTCTAGCAACCGTCTAGAGAAGAATGCCAAGGGTTGCCAGGAGTTGTTAACCCACTGTTTTAAGACTCCTCCGATTGCCGAGTCGGATGCGTCTACTGCGATACTAATGGGTGCTTCAGTGTCCTGATGTGCGAGCATTGTTGCTTTAGCGATCAGTTCCTTAACTGTGGAGAATGCTTTGCGTGCGGTGTCGTCCAAATTAATGGATTTCGCATTTCCACGAAGTTGGTCAGTAAGAGGTTTCATAAGTAATGCGCATTTCGGTATGAAGCGTCTATAGAAACTTACCAGGCCGTTAAACGTGTGTAATTGCTTGACGTTGGTCGGTTCTGGGTAATCCAGAATGGCCGCCACTTTGGTCGTAAGAGGTCGAATGCCTTGAGCATCGATAGTGTGTCCTAGGAAATCTAACGAGTCGGTTCCGAATTGGCATTTCTGAACGTTTACAGTAATGCCATGTTTTTGTAATCGTTCGAAAACAAGATCCAGATGCTTGAGATGTGATTCTCTGTCCGGACTTGCGATTAAGCAGTCATCAACATACGCATGTACGAAGTTGAGACCTCGAAAGACGTCGTCAATGAATCTTTGGAATGTTTGCGCAGCGTTTCTTAGACCGAACGGCATTCGCAAAAATTCATAGAGTCCGAAAGGAGTTATGATAGCTGTTTTCGGTATGTCGTTAGTAGCCATAGGTATTTGGTTATACGCTTTAACCAGGTCGATTTTCGAAAAGACAGTTGTACATTTCAAGGTAGCTGTCAAATCGTGAATGTGAGGCAACGGGTAACGATCGGGAATGGTTTTCGCATTCAATCGCCGATAGTCGCCAGTTGGACGCCAATCGTTGCTGTCCTTTTTAGGGACCATGTGCAACGGAGATGCATAAGGGCTGTTTGACGGTCGTATGATTCCTAAGTCTATCATGTGATCAAATTCGTTTTTCGCTAACCTTAGCTTTTCAGGAGCTAGTCGTCGTGCTTTAGAGAAATACAGGTGGTCCTGTAATCGTGATGTGATGTGTAACATTGCTGGTTACACACGGTAGTTTCGTTTGAGTTTGTTGTATCCCAGGGTACTTGTCGAGTAGTGGTTGATAGAGTGGGTCTATCGAATGCTTAACTGTGACTGGGGATAATCTACAACCAGAAAAAGAAGTTACGCAAACGGATAATTTAGTGTTTCCATCTACTAGCCTCCGTTTGCGCTTGTCGATGATTAGATTATGGTGTTGTAGAAGATCCATACCAATGATTGGCATAGAAACATCTGCAACAACGAAAATCCAATGGATGGGTTTGCGTAAACCCACGTTCAGGTAGATGTACCTTTTGCCATACGTGGCGATCGGTTTTCCGTTTGCCGCCTGTAAGTTTAGAGTTGAATCGTCGAGCCGGTCGTTATGATTTGCTGGGAGAACGTTAACTTCTGCGCCAGTGTCGACGAGGTAGCGAACTCTCGTTGTCACATCTGTGACGTACAACAGACGGCTATGTTCGCCGGCTACGGTTGCCGTTAACGCGTGCCGGCTTAGAAGTTTCCCGAGTTGTTTTTCGAGTCAGTCGTTTTCGTGTTGGGAAAATTGCAGGGTTTTCTGCAATTTCTGGAAGATTTTCCATACTGGTTATGATACCAGCACCAGTCGGGGTTATCCGTCTCTCGTAGTCTAGAGACAGATCGTTTACGCGAAATGCTTCTACGTGGACTGCGTGAGCGACTACGGTCGTTACGAAGATTAAGATAACGCGTGAGTGTATGACATAACTCGGTTATGTCATTCTGAGTCGTGTGAGGCTTTTCTCTAACGGAAAATACCTTTGAAGTAGACGATTTCGTTATTTCTAAAATACGATCGGCAGATGCAGCTAGCTCGTCTAAGGCGTTGTTCTGAAACGAGACCAGAACCGCTTGCACCTGTTGAGGAAGTTTAGACAAGAAAAGTTGTTTAAATAGACCTTCGTCGAAAGTCCTTAGGCCTATCACTTCTCTCATTCTTTGCAACATGTCAGTCGCAGAACCGTGTTGCAGGTCGATGTTATTGAAGAGTTGATCTAACCTTTGTCGATCGGTTAGGTCTCCTCGTTTAAGAATCGAACGTTTCAAGATT